ATATATATAATCTTACATGTTTGTCACATACGTATCTTCACACATACATATACATATGCATATACGCCTGGCCATTGCTTCCCCTGTTATTCCTCTCTTCTTGCCACACCAGACATTCCAATGTTGTGTTGTCTATCTCTTCCACAAGAGCTATGTAAGTGATGTAACGCTTGCTTGTTTATCACCCTTCGTCACATGCTAACAACGTGACTTGGTGCGATCTTAAACCATTGTATAGGAGATCAGGCAGACTCCCTGCGGGGAGCCAAGGAGCAACACCTCGCTCCGAGGAGCTGCCGCACTCCAACATCCTATCCAATAAATGGAGTTAAGACACTTTGATTGTCTACCTTAACCCCTTGCTCGCCATCTACTTTTGTAGGACCCAACATTTGGGCTCTTACACTGTGTGTATGTGTGTCTGTGTCTGTGTGTATGTATATAAGCATATGTGTGTTTAATTATATATATATATATTATATATATATATATATATATATATATATATATAATACTATATATATATACACATATATATATATATAATATATATATATATATATATATATATATATATATATATATATATATATAATTATTGCATTAACCAAAAAGTAAAAATACCCCCAGACTATAATACAAAGATTGTAACACCTGCTAAGTCTGAGGCTATGGAACCTCTAAAATTCATAATGATATTGACTGATGAAATCTATATAGATAGATAGATATAGATATATATACACTGAATCACTAAGTCATTACAACCAACTCTAAAACATAAAAGTGTCAGTCACGTCAATCTAAATTGGAATAACTGGTCTCTCGCAGGAAGACATCTATTATAGACATATATCTCTGTATCCAGTGTCGTTAGTTTTTTTTTCTGAAACAATATTTTTTAAACAAATTAAACTAGCAACTATGGGATGTATTCGAGGCTCTGAATATCTTTTGACCCAATCATTCAGACAGGTTTTCACGTCTGACCTCATGAATGAAACAGAAAACGAGCTACCGAGGTAAGTGAAGCACTGTCAGTGGATGGGAAATCTCTGAAAAATATTGAGGAACAGCAAAAAAAGAAAGAAAGAAAAAAAGGAAAATAAAAGAAAGTACAAAAGATGAGTCTTGTTTACTTAAAAAATGATAAGCAAGCCACAGGACGCAGAGAATCATGCCCCAATTACGACTTGTGAATTACTTTTTTCTATGTTGAGAAGGCCACCAATGACTTATTGTAGAACACAGAAGCAGACAATTCCTTCGAGTGAAGTGGCATGGAAAGCGACACAGACCCTCCTTATTTGGCAGTCCTGGGATTCTGGCCGAAGATCAGGGCCGGAGGACATGATGCCCACTTATTGGTTCGAATTTGCATCAAGCTGCATATAGCATTGCATGCTGCAGATTGATATACTTGGGTATTTGTCGTTGCTTAGTGGTATACTTGATTGTTTGTCTGCTGCAGACTGGTTCACTTGAGTAGTTGTCTGCTGCATGGCATAACATCAGTGTAATTTTAAACCCCCCCCCCCCCCCCCCCCCGCCAACACACCCGCCTCTTTCTGAAACCGAACTGACCTCCAACTCGTCCAGTTCCGGTTCGTTCTTTACCAATGCAGCCAATTCTACTTAAAGGCAGTGTTGCTACTCTGTGGAATGAATCCACAAATATGAGCATAAATTGACTTTTTGTTGAACCCTTTTTGTGGGTTTATTTTGCGGAAGCATCCATTCGCAGTTATGAATGGTTGTGGGAAAACAAAATGGATTTTTTTAGGTTCTCTTCCTCCGTCATTTTCTGCGCTTTCCTTTCTGTCTCTTCTGCACTCTTTGGATCTTGGTTTAAAGCCCTATATTCCTTAGATATTCAGTTTATGCCTCATATTAGTTCGGTTTTCTTTATTTGTGTTTCTCTTTAATTCTTTTACTGAGAAAGTTCTCGAAAGTGAATCTTCATCGAGTGATTTCTCACATGTTTTATGTAACTGGTATATTTAACACGTAATTCAAAATCAACACTTATTTTATTAAAATATAACTTGCCTCTGTCCCATCAGATGACGAGATGCTCGTTGATTTTACACCTTGATTTTACTGCGTGGTTAAGTCATTTACTCAGGGCTGTCGTTCGTAAAATCGAGGTTTTGCTTTCATCTGGCAATCCTTACACATTTCAGCACTGATACTCATTCTTCACAAAGGAAAATAACACCCATGGCAAGTCATGAACAGCTGACTGCGTGCGACTCGCTCACAGACGATGAAGGCAGATGACTTAAGCGCCCCGCGACCTTGAATGCGACTGATTGGCAGGAATGAAGAAGGAAGAGAAAGATTGCACAGCAAAGAGCTTGAAAGCTTTCTCTTCGCAGCTGGAGGGAAAGGAGGAGTGGGAAATGGTGGATGGCGAAGGAGAAAGAAAAGGAGAAGATGGTGGATGGCGAAGGAGAAAGAAAAGGAGAAGATGGTGGATGGCGAAGGAGAAAGAAAAGGAGAAGATGGTGGATGGCGAAGGAGAAAGAAAAGGAGAAGATGGTGGATGGCGAAGGAGAAAGAAAAGGAGATGATGATGGCGAAGGAGAAAGAAAGGAGAAGATGGTGGATGGCGAAGGAGAAAGAAAAGGAGATGGTGGATGGCGAAGGAGAAAGAAAAGGAGATGGTGGATGGCGAAGGAGAAAGAAAAGGAGATGGTGGATGGCGAAGGAGAAAGAAAAGGAGATGGTGGATGGCGAAGGAGAAAGAAAAGGAGAAGATGGTGGATGGCGAAGGAGAAAGAAAAGGAGAAGATGGTGATGGCGAAGGAGAAAGAAAAGGAGGAAATGGTGATGTTGTGAATATGTTATAAGTGAAAACGAAGATAATACTCACCAAGAATGGATTACGGCAATAACAATATATATTTAGAAGTTGCTGGGT